GAAATCCACCGACGTCACACGCGAAACTCGCCCCTAAACCCTAAGCCCCTAAACTCCTAAGCCCCCAAACCCCTAAACCCCTAAACCCCTAAACCCTAAACCCTAAACCCTAAGCCCCTAAACCCCAAGCCCCTAAACCCTAAAACCCCAAAACCCCTAAACCCTAAACCCTAAGCCCCTAAACCCCAAGCCCCTAAACCCTAAACCCCCTAAACCATAAACCCTAAGCCCCAATCCCCCAAACCTCTAAACCCTGAACCCTAACCCCTAACCCCTAAACCCCAAACCCAATCCCTGCCTCGACCGAGAAGGCGAACGATAGCAAAGACCCTGCCTCTCCCGCCTCTCCCGACGATCACCTCTCAGTCTCCATTCGGGAAGGCCAGGTTCAGGGTTTTGGGTTTAGGGCTTATAGGGTTTAGGGTTTAGGGTTTAGGGCTTAGGGTTTAGGGTTTAGAGTTTAGGGTTGAGGGTTTAGGGTTAAGGGCTTTGGGTTTAGGGTTCAGGGTTTAGGGCTTTGAGTTTAGGGTTTAGGGCTCTGGGTTTCGGGTTTCGGGCGAAGTTGGATGCCGATCTCAAGGCTGCCGGCAACAAGCGGTGCTTGTCATCGCCTTCGTTAGTGTGTAGGTTTTAGGGTTTAGGGTTTAGGGTCGTTTCGAGGAACCCTACGATACTCTTAAGGGTATAGCTTGGCTTTGCTTGCTTAAAACCCAAACCCTAGAACGTTAGCTCCCTGCTCTTCCAACGTAGTTGAGGCGGTGAGAAGCAAGGTTTAAGTTTATGGTGTCGGGGGTTTAGGGTTTAGGAGGGCGGGTTTAGGATCAAGCCCCTCACACCTCTGGTTGAGGCAAGTTCCGCTACTACGCCGGGAACTTACCGATCAGTCGAGATGTGCGTTGCTGGTTCCAGAGGTGAGTCTGTTGGCACTCATGCTACGTTCTCTACATGCCTCGTTCTCTCTTACTCTTCCGTGTGTTGTTGTGTGTAAAGCTTAGATGATTGCCTGACCGCGCTGTCACCAAGGGTTCATATAGCAGCTTCAGTCATCGCCTTCCTGCGCCCAAGCCCTAAACCCTAAACCCAGAACCCTAAGCCCTGAACCCTAAACCGTATAAGCCTTGAGCTCCGAAGAATCCATCCCCTGATGTTTTGTTTAGGATCTAAAACCGGAACAACAATGGAGACGAATTTAATGTAGAAGCCTGAATACTAATATCAAAGTTACAGTATTCCTTAGGTTTCCTGGTCAGAATTGCGATAAACGCCCTACAGTTATTCGTATTCGTCATGCGCCTTATATACGTTACGCTCAACATGGCCATAAGTCCCACTACTGCAGCAGTCCAAAAGCAAAATTCAACCCGAGGTGGCTTTGGGGTTTAGGGTTTAGGGCTTTAGGGTTTTAGGGTTTAGGGTTTAGGGCTCACAGCCCGAAACCCTAGCCTTATAAACCCCGAAACCGCCCCTTGCCTCTCGAGCATGTTGCCTTGATGGCATTTGATGACCCACAGGGTCCTGAGTACTTATATGGGTACTACCCAAACCATATAGTAGTTCCTGGTATACAAACCCTTTTTTCTACGAGGTACGTAGGGCTCTTGGGGTGATTTCTGGGATGTTCTGGGACAGGCTCTGGATGTTGGGGACGTGGCGACACAGTCAAAGTTTGATATGCACTTGCGACGTCGCCGGAAAAATCGTGCCAAATCAGATTGACGAAGGAGACTGCTTCCCAAGAAAATCTTGCACGGACAAGACACCGCAGCGTGCTTCGATACCAACTACGTGATCTCAAGAAGCGCAGGATGCACTTAGTGAGTGAGCCCTAAACCCTAAGCCTAAACCCTAAACCCTAAACCCTAAACCCTAAGCCCTAAACCCTAAACCCTAAACCCTAAGCCTAAACCCTAAACCTATATTCGGGGGTTCCTTCTTATAAGTACAGTATAAAGGCCCCAAAACCCTATTTTAATGATTAAGGCCCCTATATTATGCACATCAAGCGGCTCTGCCAACTTCTAGGAGCCATCCGCGCCGTATTGCGAGAAACCCTCACAATCTAGAGGTACCGGAAGACGCTGGAGCGACTTTGTCCTGATCCAGCGCCAGAGCACCGTCTCAACCCGGTCTCACCGGTCATGCACGACTCGCTGGGTCGCTCCGACTGTCCCATAGTAAGACAACCAGACAATCGTTCCGTAGGGCTCTTCATGATATACAGTTATGCCAAAGCAAACCCCCCAAAAAAAGTCCTGTTCTAAGTGTGAAGACCCCAGAAAGAATATGTCAATGTCTAAGTCGAAGTCCGACTCTTGCAGGACTCATACTTCCCTGTAAAGGACCCCCCATGCTTCCCTATTGCAGGAGCCCTTTATACTCTCCATTAAAGGAACCCTGGAACCCTAAACCCTGAATCGCTTCTCCTTCTCTTTAAACGGAACCTCTACATATTCCTTCGCAAGAGCCCCAAAACCCGAAGGCCCCGAAGGCCCCCAAACCCTCTATACTTCCATTGAGAGGAGCCTGTATAGATCCCTTTGATTTGAACGATCCCTTAAAGATCCCGAAATGCTAAACCACAATCGGCTCCACACCCTAAACCCTAAATCCCTAAACCCTACACCGAAACCGAGATCCTCTCAAAGGAACCTGCTACAGCACCCCAACAACAGGAGCCCTTCTAGTGCTATCCTTTAGGTCCTTCCGCCATCTTCCTCGGGTGCCGATGCAGCGGCTGCGGAGGTCTTCTACAACGCAACCTCCAGCTACCATAGCCGACTTTTTTGTGGTGCTTACTAGAAGCTTTAAAAAGGACTTCATAAGGACCCCACATAAAAGTAGGATTTGGTAGGTTGAATGATCTCGAGGAATACACCTGATGTCATAAAGGTTTAGGGTTTAGGGGGTTTCAGGGTTTAGGATTAAGAGGTTAAGTTCCAGGGTTTAGGAAGATGTATGTCTTAAATTGTACGGGCGTCCTCAGTATCATTTTCTGACTTAAGGTACGTTCCTTGATAGGTGGGTTTGCAGTATCTGGCATCAACTTCAGCATTTCGTGTGCAGCAGGCGTCTTCAAAACGAGCGGCTCCTTAAACTTATAGGCTCAATTATCTTGTTTCGGGGTCCTGGCGCCTGGAACTCTCATATGGAGCACAGGGTATTAGAGTTGAGGGTTTCTACAATTTAGGATGCAGGATAATATAGATCTTGAATCCTTACTCCCAAGCCCAACCCCCTCAGGCGGGGAAGTATCCCATAATCACGTAATCCCCTAGATGCGTAACTGTAACCTATACTTTCGTACTCTTCGACAACCCAGGTCCTTCGGACTTAATAAAGAACCCTTCTGGAGCGCCTGTTTTCAACCTTGTATTCCCCGAAACCCAGCCCTACATCCCTAAACCCAGCCCTGCTCAAACCCGAGACCGAGAGCCTAAACCCTAAACGCGAAACCCTGAACCCTACACCCTAAACCCTGAACCCTGAACCCTAAACGCGAAACCCAGCCCTACCGGCCCTAAAGCCCCAAAACCTCGAGATGCGATGCAGGCGGAGACAGCTGAGGTGGTCACCTCCCTGGCGGGAGCCTCAGCGGTTGCCGGTTCAGGGCTAGGGCTTCAGAGTCAGGGTTTAGGGTTTAGGGTTTAGGGTTTAGAGTTTAGGGTTTAGGTTTCAGGGCTTCAGAGTCACGGTTTAGGGTTCAGAGGAAGGGTTTAGGGTTTAGGTTTCAGGGCTTCAGAGTCACGGTTTAGGGTTTACGGTTTTGGGTTTAGGGTTTAGGGTTTAAGGTTCAGGGTTTAGGGTCTAAGGTTTAGGATTTAGGGTTTTTAGGGGGTAAGGTTCAGGGTTTAGGGTTCAGGGTTTAAGTTTCAGGGTTTAGGGTGTAGGCTGGGGATGTCGGTAGGGTAGTGAGTTTTGAGTGGGCCGGGGTCACGGATTCCGGCGGCCTAGGTTGCAGGCTTTCGGGTGAGGGTTATGGGTCCTGGCGGTTTAGGGTGGTGGCTGGGTCGGGCTCGTAGGGTAAGCCTTATAGCAAGGATTCTGCTGGTGTTCCCCAACCCCACAATGTAGAACTGCAGGGAAAGCAGAATACTGCCTCCGGTTTCTATGTTCAAGGTCATGAAATGCAAAGAGGCCCGGGTAAACGGCGGGATCCAATTCCCTCGACCTTACACCCTATATGTAAACCCTTAGCCAGGTAGGGTTCAGGGTTTAGGGTGCAGGCCTTTGGTATATATTTTATGCTTTCCCTATAGGGCTAAGGAGGATCTTACTTGCGAATACGTTGCGGAGGCTTCAAGAGGCCAATCTAACTACCTTCAAGGACGCCTTCTGCTAACCCTTATAGAAACTAAACCCTGAACCCTAAACCCTATAAGCCCCAAACCCTTAAGGGTATTAACCCCAAACCCTAAACCCTTGTACCCTTAAGGGTATCGGTAAACCCTAAACCCTAAACCGGAACCGGTATATCTGGGGTTTGCATCAGTTCTACGGTTTACCAAGGCCCCAGCTCTCGACATCGATGCACTCTTCAGTGGTCAAGGCGGCGATGAGCACCCGTCTCCAAACAGAGCTCCCAGGGTTCAGGTAGGGCTTTAGGGTTCATAAGGATTTTAGGGTTTTAGGGATGGCGGTTTAGGGTTTAGGGGCTTTTGGGTTTTAGGGATTACGGTTTAGGGTTTAGGGGCTTTAGGGTTT